CTTTTCATTAGACTCCTGTAAATTGTGGATTTGTGCATGATTATTGCTGGCTTTCTCTTTCTATGCTGATTTTCACAGTAACAGCCAGATAGGATGGTAGAGAATTCTCCCTGGGAAAGCATTGTTCAGTGGCTCTTTGAGGAGAAGATGTCATTTTCAGGGCTTTGCACTGAGCAGGGACCAGACGCCTTTATTTCACTGAGAGCTTCACTTTTTCTTGGCTCAGCTATGGCCTAAGTATGATAAGGAAAAATGCCGTTGGTGCCGGGCAGTGCCAGATCGGTGCTTGCTGCATCTGAAGATTCCTGCTGCTTTGGGCCCCTGACAGACGTTTGCATATACTCCCCTCACCCAGGAGCGTTAGACTCTTTCAGCCATTTAGCAGTGTAGTCGTTGGGCCTGGTGGTCTGGGCGCTGCTCCGGGATTCGGGAAGGCGTTCGGCCTCAGTGCTGTTTGCTTTGTAGTCTGAGACACACTCATGCATGAAAAAATTGTTTTCTTCCTCAAGACTTCCTCCCCTCACCCCGCATACACACACACACACCAGGAAAGCGCACTAGACGAGGTAACCTCATGTTCTCCGCCTGCAAGGGCTCTGACCACAGCATAGGAAGCGGAAGTTAGGCTTAAAAAGAAACAATCACCATGTGTCGTACAGGCCCGAGTACACTCCTCAGACAGCACAGGCCTCCCGCCATACCCCCCGGCAAGACAGACCGGAACGTGCACACACAAGCACGCGCGTGCAGCGGGCTTGGGCTCCCTGCAGCCCACCTGCCCGCACCCCCGCAGTGCACTCCCCTCTCCTGCGGGCCATGTCCTGCCCTGCCCCCCGAAAGGCTGCCACCTCTCCCTTGGGAGGCCAGTAAGAAAGCCAGGGGCCCAGGAGGTGGCGCCTCGGCTGTGGAGAGCTCCCGTCCACTTCTTGGCTTTGTGCTCCGGTCCAGGAACCTGCTCCTCCCTGCAGCCCCCGCCTCTGAGGCAGCTCACTCTCACTTTTACCTCCTAGACACAGGCCCTGCCCTTTCCTGGATGAGGCTGGGGACGGGCACGGAAGGGGGGTGTTGACGTGGGGAGAGGGCGCCGGGCACGTCAGAGCCCAGAAACCCGACTGTCCGCGCCAGGCGCTCTCCCTCGCCTTCATCACCATCAGCCCATCCGAGGTGCCCTGGCTGTCCCGATGCCCAGTGCACAGCCTGGGCGCTTACACAGCTGGGCACAGATGTGCAGACCGTTGGCCATGACTCAGCGTGGCAGATGCTCTCACAGAAGTAAGCGTGGAGGGAGGGCCAAGGGCGCACCTGGCTCCCCCTGGGCTCACAGGAGGTGACGGCAGCTGTGTCGTGGGGGTTTCGCTGTGGAGGGGACGCTGCAGGCAGCAGGGCAGCGGTTGGAGAGTACGGTCCCGTGAGCACCCCTAGCTTGGCGGTGCAGCCGAGAGGTGCTGCGTCCAGGCTCGGGCACCTGGACAGGGGCCGCCGGGCAGGAGGCGGCCGGAGCGCAGTCTGAGAACAGGGGCTGTGCCAGGCCCGGAGAGGGCCAGCGGCCGCGCGTCCCCGCCTTTCCGTCCCTCCGCCGGCTTCACCTGCGCCAGGCCGCTCTCTGGTTCATTGCCTTGAGCTCCTCACGGTCACAGGAAGAGCTGAGAACCCAGTGCATGCGATAGCGCCGTGCGGCTTATCGCACAGCGTTGATAACCCCCCATCGCTGCGAATCTTTTTCAACAGTTTTCATTTCTCTAGTGTAAGAATTCCAGGCTCTGTTACAAAATCTGATGCTCTCAACAGCAGCATGGCTGAGCAACGAGGGGGTGGAGGGGAGGCTCGAGGGCAGGCGCAGGGAGGCAGCCTGGGGCTGGCATGGAAGATGCACGTCAGGGTGATCGGAATATAAAACATCTCCCCCTAAAAAGCATTCTTCAGTTTAGAAAGTGGACCCAACCTTCCAGGGTGAAGTCTCTAGAAAAGTGGATTTGCAAGTGGATTTGAAGAAAGCAAGGGCAGTGGTGCGCCATCCTGGGCCATCGCCATCCTTCCTGCCACGCCAGCCCCTCCCTCTGGCTTCCCTTTTCTGTTCATTCCCCCAGGAACTTGGGATTTTGTGACACATCGTTGACGGGGTCCCTTTTTTGCTCCAAGCATAGGTTTCAGTTCCTGATTTCTCCCCAGCTGGCCGCTGTGGCTCCAGGCTCTGCCCGCTGGCCTTGCCTCCACACCACGGCAGCCCTTCCTTGGTCCAGCCCTCGTGGCACCTGACCGTCACCTCAGTCCCTCTGTCTTACTGAGGCCCAGCTCTGGGTCAGGGATGCTGGGCCCTGACTCTGCAAAGAGAAAGGACATGAAACTCAGAGAGATATGGTTGCCTGGTTTAGGGCCTGTGCCTACAGAGGGGCAGGGCCAGGATTCAGACCAGGCCTCCATGACCCTGCAGCCTCTCCTCTTCCTGTGCATCAGGGGACTCTACTCAGATCCTGTCACTCCCTTACTCAGAACCCTGGCAGAACAGGCCAGTGGTGAGCTCTGACTGGGAGGCTCTCCACGGCATGCCCCCAGGTCTGTCCAGCTCGTCTTTCAGTAGATGCCGCTGAGTCCCTGTTGCGTGTGCTTCAAATTAAGCCACCTTCGGTTCTCAGTCAAGGGACACCTCAGTCTCTGAACAGCCAGCTACCTCTTCCATGAAGCTGCTCCCTGTCCTCTTCACGGGGCATGGTCCCTTTCCCTTTAAAACCCTCCTGCCACTTGGTGTGGACCTCCTATACTGTGTTCCCATTTTCTCGCTTGAGTCATCAGCATTTGGGTTGTATTACCTCTGTCCCTTCCACCCCTCAGTGTCCACTCCAGCCTGGCCAGTACTCCTGGCCCCTTCAGGACAGGGCAGTCTCTTGTAGCTTTGTGTCCCTGAGTCCCTGACAGTCATTCCACTGGAGAAGTAGTGATGGAGATGTCTCCGAGCTTTTGCAGGAGGGCTGAGGCCATCGACTGAAAGGAGAAACAGATCTCTCCTCCGTGATAAACTATGCGCATTTAGTGAGAGTAGCTCATTGGCACAAGAAGGAAAATTTGACTATCTAAATGGTGGTCAGTCTAAAACACTGTGCCCATCCTTAAAAGATCTTTCCTTCTTTTTTTGGTAAAGGTGCTATATAATTCCGAATTCTGATACTGAGAGTTCCAACTATTTCATATATGGACAAATAGTAACAGCGACTGCATGTTTTCACTTAGGATACGTGAGGACTTTTCAATTTTACTAATACTCTTGCCCTGCAGGTAAAAAACAGAAGCAGAATACTTAATGGTAGTTTTCACTATCTTTACCCCTCAGGCTTAGCCACACATTGCTTGGAAACATTCTTATCGGTATTTATGTTTTTTATATCCACTTTGGAGCACAGATTTCCATTTAAATCAGAAGTAATTTACTTGGTGTCTTAACTCCCACGATAACATTGTATTGGCAATACATTCCACCTCTCACTGATTAAACACTTAACTCCAGCTCAGCATGAACTGCTACCTTTGGATTAATATATCCGTACAAATTTTCTAATAATTTGTTATTCTGAGTAAGATAAAAATGCTTACTTTCCCTGGGGAATATGTCATCAAAGGTCGTTTATTTTGTTATATGGAAAATTTTTGTTAGCTGTGTCTTTTAAATCATGACTGTTTTGTTTGTTTATTTAGTTTCTTCAGATGGAGGTACTGAGTCCTCTGCCTTAGTTGATGACAACGGCAGCGAGGAGGACTTCAGCTATGAAGACCTCTGCCAGGCCAACCCACGATACCTGCAGCCGGGCGGGGAACAGCTGGCCATCAACGAGGTACTGGGATTGCACAAGACGGTGGCAGATACTGGATACTGGATTTTCAGGGTCCACAACCACTTCAGACTTGGCTCTCTGATGATTTTTTAATAATATATTCTAAAACCTAGAACTCTGATTAGAACAACACTGTGATTTTCGGGCATTGTCCAGGAAAATTTAAGTGCTTAAGCTTTCAGGATAACTGAGGCTCATCCCTTTCGGTAGTAAGAGCTGCAATCCTTAGCATTTGGATAGTGCTTTCCAGTTCATGAAACACCCTCCCTTTCGTTATCCCATGTAATTCTCACAACTGATCTAAGAGGTAAACGTTATACTTGTTATCCACATTTTAATAAACGCCCAGATGAAGAGATTAGATTACTTGCTAGCAAATGGCAGAGCTGATATTAGCCACATGTTTCTCACTCCAAATCTGGTGTTCTTTCTACCATGCGATAGCTTCAGCCCTTTTTACAGAAATCTTTCTAGAAGGCACCTCCAGCTTTTGGCGTTCCTGAGCAGGGTGTGTGGCACGTAACCTCCCCGTAAGTTAGCATATCCACTGAGGTCACCGACTGTCACTGTAGGATGTGATACAGTATGTTCCTGGGAGCCAAGGGAGGTGTGCAGAAATGCTGCTCCTGCAGCTGGTGAGCGGACAAGCCGTGCCAGCTGCCACATGTCCCATGATTATGCTACGATCTCTTTAATTGCCGTACACTATAAAGTTAGGTAGGAAACCTACTCGAATTGCGAATAATATGTGGGTAATACACGCTGGGTGATGATGTGAGGGGCTTCCCGTAACATCTGCGTGACTTTAGAAGGCTTGGCTCTGTAACACCTAGTTTGGCTGCTCAGAAACCATTTGTGGAGTGAATATTCCGGATAGTCAAGTTTATTAGATAACTGAACCACAGCTCATTGAGCTATGTATACATTTTTTAAAAGTGGATTTGGGGTTTCCTTTAAGAGCAGGTAAGAGATGCCCACGTGATTTTGTTTTTCCCAGCATGTTTCTTCAGTTTATTTTGTGTAACCCGTCAAATAGTAAGGATCGACCAGACGCCACTGGTGCATCCCAATGAGACCTAGAAGATGTCAGTGCCACCCTCACACGGTGGTTCCTTCGATATCCTGCCCACCTACTGTCTGCGCTGAGCACACCCCCGTCTCCGTTTCAGCTGATTGGCGATGGCAGCGTGGTCTGCGCAGAAGCCCTGTGGGACCATGTGACCATGGATGACCAGGAACTGGGCTTCAAGGCCGGTGATGTCATCCAGGTTCTAGAAGCCTCCAACAAGGACTGGTGGTGGGGCCGGAATGAGGACAAGGAAGCCTGGTTCCCTGCAAGCTTTGTCAGAGTAAGTGTGTGGCACTTTGTGCTGTTTGAAAGCATCCGTGGGGGAGCAGAACCGTTTTGGGCCAAATCCTACTCTTTATACAGATTCGCTTCTCTCGTAATGGTTTGTAATCCGGATGTAAGAAATTAGGCTGGGTCACAGTAAACATTCTAACGAAGGCAAACATGTTGTTTGGCGTGGCTGCTGTGGTCCTCGGGCCCACGGGCACGGCCGAGGCTCTGCTAAGCCCGTAGAGACACAGGCTGGGGCCAGGCTGCCTTGTAACTAGCCCCAGAGAAGTGGAACCCCGGGAGGTCTCCTGCCTTGGTTCTGGCGCCGCCTCCCCCCACCCCGTCCCAAGTTACCTGTCGCCTGTGTGTGGACCACAGTTGCGAGTTAACCAGGAAGAGCTGTCGGAGAACTCCAGCTGCAACCATGGCGGGGAGCCAGACGAGGATGCCAGCCACAACCACCACAGACACTCCGAGAACAAGCACCAGATGAGGACGAACGTCATCCAGGAGATCATGAACACAGAGCGGGTGTACATCAAACACCTCAAGGACATCTGCGAGGTAAGGCGCCAGGCCCCGGACCTCACTGAGCTAGCACATGGCTGCATGATGTGCCCGTGTGGTTTCCTTCCCGCGCCTCCGTCTGGGTCAGACCCTCACGGGTGCACACTTTTCCACACTCCTCCACACTCCTCATTTCTCTCACCTCCATCCTGGCCGTTCCCCTGCACAGACTCGTCAGGCACCTGCCGTCTGCACTGCTAGGCGTAGGTCACTGTGGCTGTCCTAGCCGGTGGTGCAGCAGTCCTCTCTTAAGGGCACTTTGCAACTGTCTCTTTTAGGACTTAACTCCTGAGGTTACTTAAAGTGAGTGATTTTCATAGGAGGCCACACCCTTACTTGACTTTACAAAGAATCACTGGTTTGTCACTGTCTACAACCCCGCTGCAGCCAGCCACCGACTCACAGGCAGGACTCTGCGTCAGTTAGACACAGACAGGGGTGGGAATTGGTTTTATCTGGTGATATCCAGGGTTCTGTGATGTCATGATGTTCTACTTGGCAGTAAGTTGTATAGTCTTGTCCTGATTTCAGAGAACTGACCATTGGTAGATGTGTATCTCAAAGCGGTTTTTCCTCCTATGGCATTTTTCGTTTTTACGGATTTTGTATGAGCACCGCACTGAACTGTTGTTTGCCTGGCCCGATCATTCCAGCTGCCCTGGCTGTGGGTGCTGATGTCGGCACCATCAATTCAGCCATGACCGTTCAGCACTGAAGACAAGCTGAAGTCAGAGAACTGCCTGTCCTGTAATCCGATTAGCTAGCCACATAGACATGCCCGTGTTTAGCTTATTCGTGCCAACCATCTTATTCCGTTTAAATGTATGGTGGAAGAAGTGTCCTTAAAGTGGCATTTTAGGAAAATTAGGGTAATTGCCAATAATCGTTGAGCACTGACTGTATTCCCTCCCTTTATCTGAATTAACTCAGTTAATACAGCATTCTCACTAGGCAGGTCCTATAAGCTCCCTATTACAGATGAGGAAACTGAGGCATAAAGAGATGAACTGGTGGAATCAGGATTTAAACCCCGGCAGTCTGCCCCAGAGCCTGTACTCTGAACTATTACATACAGTATATAGATTTTCTGTTGAAATTCTTATCAAATAGTCAGTGGTATGTGTTTTACCATGTGGCCAGTGCAGTCTATTTAATGACATGATGCTGTTTGGGAGGTGGCTATTACATATAAGGATAGCCTTCTTCCCATCCCACTGACTCCTACCCAAGCTGTAGAGTATAACTGTGGTATTGTACATGGAGAATTAATTAGTGCTCTTAATTAGTGCAGGCTTCTGATAAAGATCTACAGATATATGCTGTCCATAGAAGGTGGGTGGTGTTAGAACCCCTGGGTAAGACGTCCTTGGCTGTGTGCCGTGGCCGGCGGCGAGCAGTGAGTAGCTATTCAGCAAGTGATGACACTGCATTTGACAAGTCTGCTCAGCTGTGAAATGGAATTAGGGATGGGACAATGATTATCTTAAGAGTTTGGGAGAAGTGTGACAATACCAGTTTTTGAGCTCTGGTATTTAAAACTTGTTTCTGGAAACATCATATGATTTCTTGGATTATATTAATAAATCCAACCATGTGAGCCTTTTTGCTTTCCTTTTGTTTTTTAAATATCTATGGCAAATTATAGTCACAGAAGTATCTCATCAGGGGACCCACAGAGGTTAAAATAATTTTCACTAATTCAAATCCACTCCAAGATCATGGCTTTAGGCCCCCAAAACTGTATTATTCAAATAATAATTTCTTTGAGTTTCCAAACAAACAAAAAAGTTTACTTTCGTATTTTGCAGGGCTATATTCGACAGTGCCGCAAGCACACGGGAATGTTCACTGTTGCACAACTAGCCACTATTTTTGGAAACATTGAAGATATTTACAAATTCCAAAGAAAGTTTCTGAAAGACCTCGAGAAACAGTACAATAAAGAGGAACCTCATTTAAGTGAAATAGGATCCTGCTTTCTTCAACATGTACGTCACCGGTACTTCTTTACTAATAACATCTGGTTAAGCAGTAATTTTGTTTCTTTTTTTTTTAATTTAAAAATTAAAAAAAAATTTTAACTTAACATACCCATGTCATAAAAAAGTAATTTTGAAACAAGTCTTTTTTATTTTATTTTTTTGTTTGTTCGCTAGATTAATTTTCCATCAGATGGAGATGTTCCTTGTAAAATTAAGTTGATTGGTTTATGTGGTTAATCTTTACCCAGATATCCCGAGTGTGTCTTTTCAAAATCCTTTTATGTTGCTTTTGGAATAATTTCTAATAATATCTAGCACTTTTCAAGTGCTTATTTCAAGCACTTTTTTGGGGGGTTTTCTTATATTGACTCCTGTAAGGCAGGTATGTTTATTTTCCCCATTTTATAGATGAGGAAACTAAGGCCCAAGATCACACCCTAGTAAGTAGCAGATGTGAATTCAGACCTAGTGACTGCTGAACATTCCTGTGATGATGACATGAGTTTATCATTTTTTAACTGATGATTAACTATTACTGTTTAATACTAAAAAATTTCAGAGGAAGATTTTATTTCTGGCCCAAATAGGGAAGAATAAAAGTAATAATAACAATGACAGCAACACCACCCTCTTCACTTCCTGGGTGCTGGGCCCGGTAGCATCCTAGAGCTGGTCCTCTGGGTCGATAGATTTTAGTAGCTGAGGATAATAGTGCAGGTGAGAAGATCAGCCCCGTAGGTGGCCTGGACATATTTGGGACCTTGTAACAGGACTGCCTTTGTGGCCAGTGCAGAAGGTTCCTGAAGAGGAACAGTAAGAGAGAAGCTGTGGACCAGGTCAGGTTGGGCTGGGGGTGGGATGGAGGCCCCGGGAGGGGAGTCACTCTGTGCACAGAGAGCAGGAGAGTGTTGCTGCCGCTGAGGAAGGGCCGAGGTCGCCTGGCCTGGGGAGCTGGAAAAAGAGAGATTGTTGAAATGGATATTCTTAAGGAAAACCCGACAAGACTGATCATAAGCACAGAGGAAAAGCAGCAAACAGAACTGTGTGTAGGGTTTTGAGTCTCAAAGAATTAACACGCGGATTAGGAAAATCTGTTTCCCAGGGAAACCGGAGTTTGTTTTTGGGCATGTTGAGTCTGAGCACACGGAAGCCCCGGCCCTGGAGCAAGACACGGGCAGGAAGGACGGCCGCCCTGGAGAGGGTGGACACCGCGAGTGCGCCGCCCAGCGGCGGGGGTGGCGTGAAGGCTACACGCAGGGCTGAGGAGCCGTGCCACGGGGACTGTGCCTTGAAAGTAGAGGAAGGGCAGGAGCCCAGGACACGTGGAGGGAGGACGGGGAGAACGCCGCTCCGCCATATCATGATGACATGATAAACTCATGTCATCATCACGGAATGTTCAGCAGTCACTAGAGCACACACCTAGGTCTGCATTCACATCTGCTACTTACTAGGGTGTGACCCTGGGCCTTAGTTTCCTCATCTATAAAATGGGGAAAATAAACATACCTGCCTTACAGGAGTCAATATAAGAAAACCCCCCAAAAAAGTGCTTGAAATATAAGAGACTCTAGATATTATTTATTAGGAGCAGGGCAGGTGGTGCAGTGGAGGGTGGCAGCGGCCCCAAAATGAGAAGGTGGGGACACGGGGGTCAGCAGAGGCCTTTCCGTCTGAGGTGACAGGGTGACATGTGTGGCAGCCAGACTCTAGAGCATTAAGGAGGAGGCGCATGGTGAGGAGGAGAAGGTGTCCAGTGGCACCTCTTGGTCAAGGAGTCTGTTAAAGTGGCATGATGAGGCAGGAGGGAGTCGGACGTTGGAGCAGCACCCCCTCTTCTCTGCTGCTGCTACTGGAGGTCAGATCACAGCCGGGGGCTGGAATGGGCCGGGTGTGCAGACTCCCAGAGCAGCCGCCCCGACCCCTGGGGAGCCTGCGGGAATGCCCCTTCCTACCTAGGAGACCAGGGCAGAGCAGCTAGGGGATCCGCCCTCCTTGCAGGAATCCATCCCCCTCCTTCCCGGGAGTGTCCCTTTGAGGGGGCCGGTGTTACCTGTCCCTGTCACAGTGGAGCCACCCCAGAAGCTGACGCAGCCCTGCCTTCCCCTCCGCAGCAAGAGGGCTTCGCCATCTACTCCGAGTACTGCAACAACCACCCGGGCGCCTGCCTGGAGCTCGCCCAGCTCATGAAGCAGGGCAAGTACCGGCACTTCTTCGAAGCCTGCCGCCTGCTGCAGCAGATGATCGACATCGCCATCGATGGGTTCCTGCTCACGCCGGTGCAGAAGATCTGCAAGTACCCGCTGCAGCTGGCCGAGCTGCTCAAGTACACCACGCAGGAGCACAGGTGAGCGACAGTGGCCTTAACCCTGCAGGTGGCGCCTCCCGGGACAGCTGTGACAGGCGGGCTTCAGTGTCAGCCTTACAACCCTTTCAGTCAGCTCTACCGGAAACGTCTTTGGATTGTTTAGAATGCGTTAACTCCTGAAATAGGATCATTGAAACGCCTCCGGAATAGCCATTCCTAGAGATGAGAAAGCAGAACCCTAATTCTTTTTTTTTTTTTTTT